TATATATATATATATATATATATATATATATGTGTGTGTGTGTGTGTGTGTGTGTGTGTGTATGTATATGTATATGTATAGTATGTATATGCAACTGGTATTCGCTAGAAGTATCTCTCTTATCAGTGTCCCTATAGTATTCTCTTGCATTCTTCCAATGCACGTCTGGGAATCTCTAGTCTTACGATACGGGTATCGTCCAGCTCGTGGCAGCTTATGTTTTCATACACTTACTTGATAGTTGGGAACACCTCGACACACACAGTCTCTCGCGTTATATACTCATATCGGCATATTGAAGCTGTAAACAGCCTGGACTTCACGTCACCACTGAGTTATCCGTTGTCCGTTCAAATACCTCTAAACGTTATCACTCCCGTCACTCACACACCTCCCGGGATTTTCAGTTGGAAGCAGCTTGGTCCCTAACAAACATTGCGTCGGGAAGTTCGGAACAAACGCGTACAGTGGTGGAGGCGGGGGCTGTTCCCCTGTTTGTGCAGTTGGTGCTCTCAGGCTCTCCCAAGCTGATTGATCAGGTGTGTTGTTGTGTATGTGCTGTGTGTGTATGTCTTGTGTATTAGGGTGTGCTGAGACTCACAGATACATTTTCAGTGAAGGGGTGCTATGGGTGCCATACAGCACAGTATAAGTGTTGGGATGCTTTATGTGCACGTGTAGGAGTTTATATGTATGTGTGTGTATGTGTATGTATTTTGCATGTATGTATTTGTATGTGTTTGTATGTATGTGCACATATGTGAGTGTATGTATGCATATATACGTGTATGAGAGCGTATGTGTGTGTGTGTATGTGTGAACATGCGTTGATGTGGTCATCCATGTGTGTATGTGTGTGTTGGTCTCGGCTAGTTACGTGTGCTTATTGTGGCGTTTGACTGCCTGTGTCTGTGTACAGGTATGTCTATTTTTGTGTATGTGTGTGTGTGTCATTTAAGATCTAGGTCGACGCATTTTTCTCCTGCGCGTGTGCAAATATGCGCTTATCAGTAAATGTGCGTGTATAAGGACTGTTGTAGTCACCGTCACGTGATTACCCAAATAAAATTATGGACCAAAGCGGGTAAAATTAGGGCAAAACCCTTTACATGAAACTGGTGCATAAGGTAGGGAGTATGTGCAATCGCGAAAGCCTCTCAGGCTGATCTCACGCGATTAAACCCAATACAGCTCTGTGTATCTGGTATTGACTGCGTATACGCGTATGGTTTCGAAGTAGAGGTGCTCATAGATTGTGTCTTCAATTTCAAAGCTCATGCCTATATATCTACATCCCACGTGTGCGCATACTCACGCAGTGACCGCAAATATGGACACTGTATTTCACTGTACGTATAAGTACTTCTGTCTTCTATAGACTACGCTATACTTGACTATGCTTTTAAGTACTCATATCATCTGTACACTACACTTTACTAGATTATACTTATTACTCATATCGTCTGTAGACTACACTGCACTTGACTATACTTTTAAGTACTCATATCGTCTGTACACTACACTATACTTGACTATGCTTTAAGTACTCATATCATCTGTAGACTACACTGTACTTGACTATACTTATACGTACTCATGTCATCTATAGGCTACTTGGGCTCTGGGAAATATAGCCGGAGATGGAGCGGAGTGCAGAGATCTGGTTATCGAATGCGGAGGTGTGCAAGCCATTATGAAGACCATTGCACCGAAGACATGTGAGCTCGGTGTGTTGAAGAACGCCATGTGGGCCATGTCCAATCTGTGCAGGGGGAAGAATCCCCAACCAGACTTCTCCCAGGTATACATATGTATGTGTATACATTTATGTGGGTGTACATGTGTGTATATAGTTTAATACATATATATATATATATATATTCACTGTATCATTGTTTTTATTTCAGCTGAAAGCTACCATATATTGACTATAGTCAAATACCTCACACACCCTGTATTCTCTATGCCACAGGTGAAGGCCTTTCTCCCGGCTGTGGCTGTGTGGCTGCGCATTACGCAAGATGTGGAGATCATCACAGACGCGCTATGGACGTTGTCGTATCTGTCCGATGGCGCGGGCGATCACATTGAGGAGGTGCTGGTCTCTGGCGTATCGCTCAAGCTGGTTGAATTGATGATGTATGTGTGACTTGGGATAAACTGAGCCAAGGTTGTTGTCGTTTAGCTTAAAGAGTTGTAGTGATATGAAAAGCCATGTGTCCGTGTTCTTCGTTTGTCGTACCTGTCTGATAGCCCCGCATGAGCACATTGACGCTGTATTGGGATCGGCGGTGTCGCGCTAGCTGGTGAAGCTCACAGTGAGATGCGAATAGTTATCCACACTATACCTACATACTCCGTAGTTGTCACTATGGTAACCAACTTATTGTGTCACGGTACTCTTGATTTGCCCGAAACCCCTGAAGACGCACATATCCACCCATGATAGGTATGATTAATATTTATATATACCTGTTTCTGGTAGCAATAAACACCCATATGCTAGAGGTACATATTACTTCTAATCCGGTTTTTCACATAGTAGTCAGACATGCTAGTGTACATAGTACTTGTACATCCATTCTTCACGCACAACAACAACCCTTGCAAATTACCCATCATACTTATATATGCCTGTCTTTTGTATACCTGTTTCCAGGCATCCATCATACTTATATATGTCTGTCTTATATATTTCTGTTTCCAGGCTTCCATCATTCTTATATATATCTGTCTTATATATACCTAATTACAGGCAACCATAATACTTATATACATCTGTCTTATATATACCTGTCTTATGTATACCTGTCTTATATATACCTGTCTTATATATACCTGTCTTATATGTACCTGTCTTATATGTACCTGTCTTATATATACCTGTTCCCAGGCATCCATTGGTGAGTGTAGTGGTGCCCTGTCTTCGTACCATTGGGAACATCACCACCGGCACTCACACGGAGACTCAGGTGGTTATCAATGCCGGATGTGTGCCTGTTCTTCTGCACGTCCTGTCCTCGACCGAGGCGAAGTTGCGGAAAGAGGCTTGTTGGGCTATATCGAATATTACGGCGGGAACTGTAGAGCAGATTGAGGTAGGTATTTGAGTTTGTATTGATCGTGATTGGGTATGGAATATGTGTTTATATAACTCACGGATCATGTCATAAACTCTGACATATATAGTATATATATATATATATATATATATACTACATATATATATATATATATATATATATATATATATATAGTAGTGTGGTGGGTGGGGTGGGGGTGGGGTGGGTGGTGTGTGTGTGTGTGTG